ATCAGTACTGGTAACACATCTTTTCAAACAGAAAGTGTCAGTTTTGAAATGATCAGGAAATTTGAAGTGCAGTAAGACTTAAGTCTCTCAACTTCAGTGACAGTGTGAGATTAACGTGACAAAAATTTAAGTCTTTTCTAAAGAACGATCGGGAATAGAAGAAATTCTCAATGGTTAGATATGGCAAACCCCAAACCGATATGCTGTTGAAACTAGATCTCAGCGGTGAAAAGCTCGCACGTATAGTATGACCAGAAATTATTGAGAATTGTACGAATATGTTTAATTGGATTTCTAGTATAATCAACCTTTGTATCAGCGCCCAAAGTACAGTCCGAAATTCAACGTGTGGGGTGGCATATCTGTGTTAGGGGCAACACCCCTCTGTGTATTTGAAGGGAATATGAACAGTGAGCGGTACACAGATATTCTCGAGGGACATTTACTTCCATCTGCTCACGTGTTCTACGGAAAGTTTTGGATTTTCCAGCAGGACAACGACCCAAAACATCGTTCAAAGTATTCACAGGCCTGGTTTCGGACCCAAAATCTGACATTATTAGATTGGCCAAGCTATAGCCCTGACCTAAATCCAATAGAAAATGTTTGGGGACTTATGAAGGAAAGTGTCAATAAGAAAAATCTGACAAATATTGCTGAAATGAAAGAAGAGGTGGTCCGATATTGGGACAGCATGGACCACGACTTTCTAACTTCTTTGATCAGTAGTATGCCCCGCCGCATCGAAGCCTGCATTGCTGCCCATGGTGACTTGACAAAATACTAACTGTTCACCTGTCTTTGAATCTGGAGTTATGTTCTGCTAATATTCACATTAATACGTGAGTAATGAGTGAAAAATATAAAAAATTACAATCTTTAAATTCTCAATAATTTCTGGTTGTACTGTATATAAACACAGTGGGTCACAGCCGATACTTTAATGACATTCATATTAAACAATTGCAATAAATGTTTCCGGTCTGCTGTAAGTCTGGATCAGTTAGTGCTATTAATAACACCTCACCTGGTGAATGGAATGTTTGAAATTAGCTTCATCATCTTAATGCATCACCAGAGGACCGTATCCGTTTATTGTTAGTTTTGTAGAATCTACCGATCACGATGTGAGAGAAGCGACAATGAGCCATGAGAACTGGTAGAGAAATATCTTCCAAAGATAATACGATACACTTGCAGAACTGTTTAATTGCACCTGGTTACAGCGTAATGCCAATTAAAGTCTTACATAACGCTCCTTTGTTGACAGCAAGTCCAACTATACCTTTGCACAAAAAGAAAAGTGTTAATTTGCCATCTAACTATCACACTGTTCGAAGTTTTCGGAAAAGATGATATTTTCGAATGTGTTGGACAGAGACTAACAGTATTTTAGTTTTGGAACAATATGGTTTTAGGAAGGGATGCCTGACTGTTGATGATATTTTCGTACTAGATGAAATCATTAATAAGTACTTATCCCTTCATATGGGCAGAGTGTACTGTGCTTTTATAGATTTGAAAACAGCTTTCGACTCCGTATCAGGAAGTGGTTACTTCAAGTTGTGGACTAATAGTTTGAAAGGTAGTTTTTGTTTTTTTATTAACAATATGTATGCAAAGGTAGTTTCCCGTGTTTCTTTCTGAAGGCCCTTCTGAATGTTTTATTGTTTGTTCGGCGTGGGGCAGGGACGTCAGATGCCGCCATTTTTATTTTCTTTGATGTTATCAATATTATTGAGTTTCTGAGTGATGATGGTCAAAGGGATAGTGAGTGAGTGAGTTTAGTTTCACGCCGCTTTTAGCAACATTCCAGCAATATCACGGCTGGAGACACCAGAAATGGGCTTCATATTTGTACCCATGTGGGGAATCGAACCCGGGTTCTTGCTATAGAATGAAGTTTAGTGAAATTGGCAATAGACTGAAGTTTAGTGAAACTTGCTATAGAATGAAGTTTAGTGAAACTGGCAATAGACTGAAGTTTAGTGAAACTGGCAATAGACTGAAGTTTAGTGAAACTGGCAATAGACTGAAGTATAGTGAAACTGGCTATAGACTGAAGTTTAGTGAATGTGGCAATAGACTGAAGTATAGTGAAACTGGCTATAGACTGAAGTTTAGTGACACTTGCCATAGAATGAAGTCTTCTTAACTGGCTACAGAATTATAGAGAGAGAAGAGAGAGAGAAAGAAATTATTTTATTATTGTGTCACGCAAATGTTTACATAATATATAAAATCTTCAGTATCACATATAAAACATCTGCCCGGCCTTTACATACCTACGAGACACATAAAATCCATAAACCAATGCATATATAAAATATACCTCTATACACACACAGTAAAACTTAAAGAAAAAGTGGGTGGTGTAATATCATACGATATAATAATTTTCTTCTTCTAAACATAAGTAGAGCTGAAGCAGCTAAGGGATATACTAGATTATCGCATTCCATAATAAAAATAGTTAAATATAGTTAAATTCGCTACACACATGCCCTGTAATTGGCAAATATCTTCGAATATAGCGCGGTTAGATAACTACATTGCAATAGGTACTGCGATATGGTGGGAGGTGAAGTCATTGACAGCGAGTGACATTGATCGTACTGCAGACCATATTTCCTGCATACGGGGGCCCTATAAGTTAATGTTATAAGGCCTTAAAACATACGGTTATGATATCAGAAATCTCAGACTTTTAAGCAAAGGGAGGGCAGTTAGTAATGAAAGAATATATTAAATAAAGAAACATAATAAGGTCTTAGCAAATGTTATTACGCAAATACCCTAGCTGTTTACGTAATATTCTAGTAATTAATTTAACAGTCATTGTACATGAAATTTGAAAAGCATAAGCGTGCTCACTTCTGATGAGAGACACATGAAAACTCATTCTTGTCATATCCCAGTAATTCATGTTGTATATTCATTTCATGTTGGTGTTTTGGGTAGCCATACTCCAATGTGGTTACTTTTTTCATTCCCCGGACTTTTCGGTATTTTTGTGGCTGTAGTTTATTATACTCGCACAAATCGCCCTTGATACATGTCGACATGGGAAATTTCAGCGAAAATGTCAGATATTTCCATTTTTCCACTTTTACGTTTCCATTTTTTATTTTATTTTTGCAGAAAAGCAGCATGCCAGATTTAGCAACAAACAATTATACCCTATGCACTGAATATTGCGGTGGCCTACTGGTAAACCGTTCGCTGCTCACACCGAAGGGCGGGTTCGATTGCCAGCATCAGTCGCGGTAATACGTGTGAAGACCATGTGATATTGTTGGAATGTTAACGGTTTTAAAAGCCGTAGGAAACAACAACAGCCAAAAAAATACATACATACGTAAATATATTTAGAAAAGTATGTCACAAACATTGTGAATGTGTTTCATCACGCCAAAGTGGTCAGTGTGAATGGTCGCTTGTGTCTCTTACCTCCCAAACCTCTCTCCCCCAACCTCTCTCCTCCCAACCCTCTCTCCCCCAACCTCTATCCCCCAACCCTCTCTGCCCAACCTATCTCCCCCAACCTCTCTCCCCAACCCTCTCCCCAACATCTCTCCTCCCAACCCTCTCTCCCCAACCCTATCTCTCCCCAACATCTCTCCTCCTAACCCTCTCTCCCAACCCTCTCTCTCTCCCAACACTCTCCTCCCAACCCTCTCCTTCCAACCCTCTCCTCCTCCCAACCCTCTCTCCTCCCAACCCTCCCCTCTCTCCCAACCCCTCTCTCCCCAACCCTATCTCTCCCCCAACATCTCTCCTCCCAGCCCTCTCTCCCCCAACCATTCTCTCCCCAACCCTCTCCCCCAACCCTCTCTCCACCCAAACATCTCTCCTCCCAATCTCTCTCCCCACCCTCTCTCCCCCAACCACTCTCTCCCAACCCTCTCTCCTCCCAACCTCTCTCTCTCCTCCCAACCCTCTCCCCTCCCACCCTCTCTCCCTACCCTCTCTCCCCATCCCTATCTCTCCCAACATCTCCTCTCCTCCCAACCCTCTACTCCCCCAACCACTCTCTCCTCCCCAACCCTCTCTCCCCCCAACCTCTTCTCTCCCAAGCCTCTCACCCTCCCACCCTCTCTCCCTCCCAACTCTCTCATCCCAACCCTCTCTCCCCAACCCTCTCCCCTAATCCCTCTCTCCCCCAACCTCTCTCTCCTCCCAAGCCCCCAACTCTCCCCCAACCCTCTCTCCTCCCAACCCTCTCCTCCCAAGCCCTCTCTCCCAACCTCTCTCCCCCAACCTCTCTCCTCCCAACCCTCTCTCCCCAACCCCTCTCTCCCCAACCCTCTCTCCCAACCCTCTCTCCCCCAAGCTCTCTCCCCCAACATCTCCCCAACCCTCTCCCCAACCCTCTCTCCTCCCAACCCTCTCTCCCCAACCTCTCCTCCCAGCCTCGTCCCCAACCTCTCTCCTCCCAACCTCTCTCCCCCAACCTCTCTCCCCCAACCTCCCTCCCAAACCTCTTTCCTCCCCAACCCTCTCCCCAACCTCTCCCCCCAACCCTCTCCCCCACCCCCTCTCTTCAACCTCTCTCCCCAACCTCAACCCCTCCCAACCCTCTCCCCCCAACCTCTCCTCTCTCCTCCCCAACCATCTCTCCCCCCAACCCTCTCCTCCCAAGGCCTCTCTCCCCAACATCTCCCATCCCTCTCCCCCAACCCTCTCCTCCCAACCCTCTCCCCCAACCTCTCTTCCCCCAACCTCTCTCCTCCCCAACCCTCTCCCCAACCCTCCCCCAACCTCTCCTCCCAGCCCCTCGTCCCCAACCCTCTCTCCTCCCAACCTCTCCCCCAACCCACCAACCCACACTGTCCAATACGGCACCCACTCACAAATGCCTGGTTCCACGGAGATCGTGTCAACAATGCACTGAAGGATGAACAGGAAAATAATTACAATGTTTTTATTGATAAGAAACGCAATTTACAACCTAGCATCCAATTGGCATGGTCCATTATTTATTTATTTTACTGGTCAGTTATTATATCTTGATTTATAAAGATTTATCTCTTGGTGTTGATATACATTGTTGAAATTAGTCTAAGTGTATTAATTTACAATAAAATGATCTGTTTGTTTTCCTTCTGTAGATATTGAAACACGGCGTCTATGTTGCTGTACGTGTTGCGGGGCATCCATGTCAGTGTTAGGCAAGTCAGTCGTCCAATAAAGGAAGAGCTGCTGCACCACGTTGGCGTCAGCTGAAACCAGAGATAATTAAACATCTTAAAGGATAAACAGAACATTTTGTTTCCTGAAGTCATCTGCTAAACAACGCCTTCAAACCCTCCTAACACACTTACATGTGCTCAACCTGTGCGCGCATGATTCTCGCCTCCACACAAAGAAAATTGTTGCCATAAATATATTCAACGGTTTTCTGATAAAATCCAATAAGTACATACCTCAAATTTTATTAATGGACGAAGCAGTGTTATTCACGCCAGGGAGGCAGCTGTAGCACTGTCCTTCAGAAAGGATCATCCGCTTCCCGGAATATTTGACCTCACCGTACAGCGCCCAGCTAAAAGGGAAACATTATACATTAAAGTCTCCGATAATTGTGAGTTTAAAAAATCCGCGAAATAAAGCAATGCTTGTCTGGATTATGTCCCTCTTGTAAATGCCTCAATTGTTGAAACAACTGAATTATGAAGTTGAAATTTAAAATGATAAATGTAAAAGTTCTTAAAGTCGGTGCATATCCGAACCAATTAAACACCTATACACTTGCAATTTGCAAAGAAAAGGTGTATGGGTCTTTCGAAAAAATAAACATCACAATTATATTTCAGATGAGTGCATAAGTACTTACTCTCCCTCGTGGACAATGGCGGATGACACAGAGTTGTCGAAAGCTCCCAAACTGGCCATGTCATGCGTGACTGTCAAACATCTACACCTAAAGCATTCCTTCTCGTACAGGGTCACCTTGGCGGAGGGGCACCAGTTTGCCTGCAAAATGATTGTGAATAATACCAAGCATGTGACGTTTCTGTGTACAGATTGATGCACTTCACGTAAACTATGTATTGACGATGAAATCAAATAAATAAAAAGTAGTTACATTCCGCTTTTAACAATACGAGAGTGCGATGCCAGAAATGGATTTCACATCTTCAGAATCGAACCCTGGAGCACTTGAACCACTTAGCTACCCTGCCACCCTAAAGACATTATGATGAAGGGACCGCAACTATCTGTGGAGATTAGGCAGTCGTCTGAGCCAGTGTAAGAACCTTTAACGTGCAGCTTAACCTGGGGTTCATTTTTACGTATGTGTCAAATATAGAGGTGATGTTTCAAACAAACAAAAGATCAGAACGTTACTGATGTTAAGTGAAAGAACCTGTTTGACCATGGATAGAAGGCATAATCCCTAAACCAAAATATAACAATTAGATAGCAATCACAATAAAACTCTAAATATGATTAGGTTCCTTTTGTAGAATAATTGTTCTATTCTATTCAAACACACATCCACATACCATATTTCCTGCTGCTGTTTGGGCTTTTAAACCTGAAAAAGATGTGTATAAATCACAATAACAAATTTACAAGAACTGTCGTTGCGAATGACACTGAAATACAATTTTACATACATAATCAGCTCGAGGTGGGGATTCGAACCCGTGATCATGGTTAATGGTAAGTCTATGTGATACAACGCGGACCAAGTTCATACAAGAGAAAGGAATATAGAAAAGATAAATTTTACCTGGTCTTGGTGATGACAGTTTCTGTGTGGATTCCAGGGATGGAGTGGCGATCTTGGGTGTTTGGGGTCTTTTATAGCAGCAGATGTCCGTTCACCACGCAACCCTGTCCTTGAAAACGTCGTCTCTGATTAGATAGATATAGTTATCCAATCACAAATATCTGGCTTAAAACATAAGAAGCGTCTCAGTCGAACCCGTACATGAGTTGGAGGGTGCAGTCAAGTGTCAGACCTGTGGAGACCTGTACTGACATTTCAATATCTGGCAGGGGTTAGGGAGAGACACACAGCAAATTCATCAAACATAGCAGAAAATCTTAATTGTTTTCAGTAATAGAAAACTAACTTGTGGGGTTGGTATCATTTATATCATACAGACAACTCTCCTACATGGTCCTGTACATGGTCAATTTCTGTTCAGGTTATGGGTTCATCAAAAGCGTTTAGCCGTGGCATCAGACACCACAGATGTTTACATCGTGTACCTACACAATACACTGAGGATATGGAATACAATTCCTTATTACATGAAGAAACGTTTCACTGGGCCTAAAAGGATGGTATATGGGGTGTTATCTCCTTGACGTGTAGATAAATAATCGTCAACAGTAATTTGGTAAAACATGAACCCCCACAGTCTGCACCTTGTGGGGTACATGGCAGATGCCCGGATCCTGTTTTTTACGCATGTAACACGTGGAGTTGGTGAAAATGTCCCCATTCTTCTCAGATGGCAGGTTGTCAGTCTTATCAGAACGATATCATTGTCTGTTATAGGTAAACACTCTCCCGAGCAACTGGGGCTTGAAACGAATATCGTGGGGGCTGTAGGATAGCCTAGTGGTTAAAGCGTTTGCTCGTCACATAGAAGACACGGGTTCGATTCCCCACATTGTGAACTCATGTTTGGTGTCCCCCGCCGTGATATTGCAAGAATATTGCAAAAAGCGGCGTAAAACCACACTCACTCACACTCTTATCGTATTTTCGGGGAACCAACTAGAAACGTATTGAGCTTTACCATGTGACCACTAAGTATTGGCTTATTAAACATACAAAACCTAAACTGCTTTATATAGTCTAAACAAAAGAGGTTATCCGTCCATGTTTGATTGTGGCGGAAACGACAAATACAACAGGTTGTCTTTCAGCGACTATTTTCAGCCAAGTGATGTTTTATATTTCAAACAAATCCAAATTAAAAGAGTACACATGTACTTTCTTTTTGTTACACTCAAGAAAGAAAAAGTACAGATTTTATTGATGATTTCATTGGAAACGCGATTAAATGATGTGAACCATTACGGCAGTCAACTAGTAGAATTCAAGATACCAACATAGCACTGAAGGTTATTGAAGTGGTTATGGACAGAGGTATAGTTAACTGACTATAGACAAAAGTATAGTTAACTGACTATAGACAGAGGTATACTTAACCTCACTATAGACAGAGGTATAGTTAACTTGACTATAGACAGAGGTATAATTAACTGACTATAGACAGAGGTATAGTTAACTGACTATAGACAGAGGTATAGTTAACTGACTATAGAGAGAGGTATAGATAACCTGACTATAGAAAGAGGTATAGTTAACCTGACTATAGACATATGTATAGTTAACTGAGTATAGACAGAGGTATACTTAACTGACTATAGACAGAGGTATAGTTAACCTGCCTATAGACATAGGTATAATTAACCTGACTATAGACAGAGGTATAGTTAACTGACTATAGACAGAGGTATAGTTAACTGACTATAGACAGAGGAATAGTTAACTGACTACAGACAGAGGTATAGTTAACCTGACTATAGCCAGAGGTATAGTTAACTGACTATAGACAGAGATGTAGTTAAGTGACTATAGACAGAAGTATAGTTAACTGACTATAGACAGAGGTATAGTTAACTGACTATAGACAGAAGAATAGTTAACTGACTACAGACAGAGGTATAGTTAACCTGACTATAGCCAGAGGTATAGTTAACTGACTATAGACAGAGGTATAGTTAACTGACTATAGACAGAGGTATAGTTAAGCTGGCTATAGACAGAGGTATAGTTAACTGACTATAGACAGAGGTATAGTTAAGTGACTATAGACAGAAGTATAGTTAACTGACTATAGACAGAAGAATAGTTAACTGACTACAGACAGAGGTATAGTTAACCTGACTATAGCCAGAGGTATAGTTAACTGACTATAGACAGAGGTATAGTTAACTGACTATAGACAGAGGTATAGTTAACCTGGCTATAGACAGAGGTATAGTTAACTGACTATAGACAGAGGTATAGTTAACTGACTATAAACAGAGGTATAGTTAACTGACTATAGACAGAGGTATAGTTAAGTGACTATAGACAGAGGTATAGTTAACTGACTATAGACAGAGGTATAGTTAACCTGGCTATAGACAGAGGTATAGTTAACTGACTATAGACAGAGGTATAGTTAACCTGGCTATAGACAGAGGTATAGTTAACTGACTATAGACAGAGGTATAGTTAACGGACTATAGAGAGAGGTATAGATAACCTAACTATAGAAAGAGGTATAGTTATCCTGGCTATAGACAGAGGTATAGTTAACTCACTTTAGACAAATGTATAGTTAACTGAGTATAGACAGAGGTATAGTTAACTGACTATAGACAGAGGTATAATTAACCTGACTATAGACATAGGTATAGTTAACTGACTATAGCCAGAGGTATAGTTAACTGACTATAGACAGAGGAATAGTTAACTGACTACAGACAGAGGTATAGTTAACCTGACTATAGCCAGAGGTATAGTTAACTGACTATAGACAGAGGTATAGTTAAGTGACTATAGACAGAAGTATAGTTAACTGACTGTAGCCAGAAGAATACTTAACTGACTACAGACAGAGGTATAGTTAACCTGACTATAGCCAGAGGTATAGTTAACTGACTATAGACAGAGGTATAGTTAACTGACTATAGACAGAGGTATAGTTAACCTGGCTATAGACAGAGGTATAGTTAACTGACTATAGACAGAGGTATAGTTAACTGACTATAAACAGAGGTATAGTTAACTGACTATAGACAGAGGTATAGCTAAGTGACTATAGACAGAGGTATAGTTAACTGACTATAGACAGAGGTATAGTTAACCTGGCTATAGACAGAGGTTTAGTTAACTGACTATAGACAGAGGTATAGTTAACCTGGCTATAGACAGAGGTATAGTTAACTGACTATAGACAGAGGTATAGTTATGTGACTATAGACAGAAGTATAGAAAGTTAACTGACTATAGACAGAAGTATAGTTAACTGACTACAGACAGAAGTATAGTTAACCTGACTATAGACAGAGGTATAGTTAACTTGACTATAGACAGAGGTATAGTTAACTGACTATAGACAGAGGTATAGATAACTGACTATAGAAAGAGGTATAGTTGACTATAGACAGAAGTATAGTTAACTGACTATAGCCAGAAGAATAGTTAACTGACTACAGACAGAGGTATAGTTAACTGACTATAGACAGAGGTATAGTTAACCTGGCTATAGACAGAGGTATAGTTAACTGACTATAGACAGAGGTATAGTTAACTGACTATAGACAGAGGTATAGATAACCTAGCTATAGAAAGAGGTATAGTTAACCTGGCTATAGACAGAGGTATAGTTAACTCACTTTAGACATATGTATAGTTATCTGACTATAGACAGAGTATAGTTAACTGACTATAGACAGAGGTATAGTTAACCTGACTATAGACAGAGGTATAGTTAACCTGACTATAGACAGAGGTATAGTTAACTGACTATAAGACAGAGGTATAGTTAACTGACTATAGCCAGAGGTATAGTTAACTGACTATAGACAGAGGTATAGTTAACTGACTATAGACAGAGGTATAGTTAACCTGGCTATAGACAGAGGTATAGTTAACTGACTATAGACAGAGGTATAGTTAACTGACTATAGACAGAGGTATAGTTAACTGACTATAGCCAGAGGTATAGTTAACTGACTATAGACAGAGGTATAGTTACCTGACTATAGACAGAAGTATAGTTAACTGACTATAGACAGAAGTATAGTTAACTGACTTTAGACAGATGGTATAGTTAACCTGACTATAGACAGAGGTATAGTTAACTGACTATAGACAGAGGTATAGTTAACTGCCTATAGACAGAGGTATAGATTAACCTGACTATAGACAGAGGTATAGTTAACTGACTATAGACAGAGGAATAGTTAACTGACTATAGACAGAGGTATAGTTAACTGACTATAGACAGAGGTATAGTTAACTGACTATAGACAGAGGTATAGTTAACTGACTATAGACAGAGGTATAGTTAACCTGACTATAGACAGAGGTATAGTTAACTGACTATAGACAGAGGTGACTATAGAAGTATAGTTAACTGACTATAGACAGAGGTATAGTTAACTGACTATAGACAGAGGTATAGTTAAAGTGACTATAGACAGAAGTATAGTTAACTGACTATAGACAGAGGTATAGTTAACTGACTATAAGACAGAGGTATAGTTAACTGACTATAGACAGAGGTATAGTTAACTGACTATAGACAGAGGTATAGTTAACTGACTATAGACAGAGGTATAGTTAACTGGCTATAGACAGAGGTATAGTTAACTGACTATAGACAGAGGTATAGTTAACCTGGCTATAGACAGAGGTATAGTTAACTTTGACTATAGACAGAGTATAGTTAACCTGGCTATAGACAGAGGTATAGTTAACTGACTATAGACAGAGGAAGTATAGTTAACTGACTATGGAGAGAGAGGTATAGATAACCCCTAACTATAGAAAGAGGTATAGTTAAACTGGCTATAGACAGAGAGGTATAGTTGCTCACTTTACCACATATGTATATAGTTATCTGAGTATAGACAGGAGGGGTACAGTTAACTGTTATAGACAGGGCATAGTGAACCTGGCTATAGACAGGGTATGGATGTGACTATAGACAGAGGTTAATTAACTGCTATAAACAGAGAAGTATAGTTAACTGACTATAGACAGAGGTATAGTTAACTGTATAGACTGACAGAGGTATAGCCATAAGTGACTATTGAGAAGTACATTAAGTATAGCCAGAGGTATGACTATAGACTATAGAGAGGTATAGTTAA